AGTGGGTCATACTGGTACTACAGGACAGAAGCCACATTCCAATCAATATCTTTGGAATGTTAGTGCACAGGCATGACGAGCCCAGCACTAAGGGGGTTATTCACAAAGCTGCTGGATAACCCAGCCAAACAACTTTCAGCTATTTACTACGGCTCAGTACATCTGATTTCAGCTGTACGTTGGAAGTAATTAGCCGTACATCGGCTGCACTTTGGTCAGCCGAACATGTTTGGCTGAGCGGAAGTGCAGAAGGACTTCAACTCAGCCGATCCAACATCTGGATCAGCTAAGCCGAAGCTCCGGCAGCTCACTTGCTGCTGTTCGCCCCTATTCACATAGGGGCCGAACGGCAGTGAGTGAATAGGCGAATGCCACCGAGCAGCATTCGGCTCGGCTATTCTGATTGGTACCTCCGTGGTACCGAGCAAAATAGCAAATCAGTGAAAATAGTTTAAAAAAAAAAAAGTTAACAAAATATTTAAAATTTTTTAATACATAGTTAAGTTAAAAAATAAATAAAGATTTTTTTAAAAAGAAAACAAAAAACAATTGGATGGAGCTAGCAGTGACAGCTAGCTCAGCTCCGACCAACTGTTTCCTTTTGGCCGCCACCTGGCCAATGAATAACAACTGGGCGGAGCCGGCCATGATGTCACAGCCGGCTCTGCCCAGTTTTTATTGTTTAATGACAGTTCTGTGTCCCCAGGTCATTTGGGGACGCTGATCTGTCATTACAACTGGGCGGAGCCAGCAGTGAGATCACGGCTGGCTCCGCCCCGCTTGTAATTTGCGGGGAGAAAGGCCGGCCTTTGGCAGGCCGTTCGCCCCGCTTCGGCTGTCACTTCGACTCAGTCGAGCCGAAGCATACGCCTTCGGCTGCTGTACGGGCTATAGTGAATAGCCCGTACAGCAGCCCTTCGGTTCAACTGAACGGAAAGGCTCCGGCGGCCGAAGAAAGCCGAAGCATCAGCCAAAGCTACGGCTGGATCCTTCCACTCCTTTGTGAATAACCCCCTTTTTTACCAGCTACGTTGCAGACAGCACAGGAGGCCACAGCCTTCTCAAAAGGTAAGTATAAACCTGTGGGAGGGGTGGCACTGCTAGGTGGCTTAAAGGAGCTTGAAAGAGGTACTGGGGAATTTTGTTTTGAAAAAGATGAACTTGTACTTTAAACAGGGGTGGCCAAATGAACATGGAATTCAGGAGCCAGTCTATCCAGTCCAGGAGCCAGCAGGATTTGATTTAGGAGCCAACTCCATTGACAAAAACTGGAGAAAACCTCCAAAGTTTAGGAGCCAGCTGTAATTTTTAAGGAGCATTGGCTACCTGGCTCCTGAGATTTGTCCAGCTCTGCTTTAATAATACTATAGTAGAACCCAAGCCAAAACTTGGAACTAAAGGAAGTAACAGAAATCACTAAAGTGAGACAAAAACTCAATTTTAACAGTTGTTAACAGAAACAATAAGTGGAGTTTAACTTCAAAGGACAATATAGCTTGATTGGCTCCTGCATAAGTCATATCAATGATCAATAAAACCAGAGTAGAAAAGCATTATATGCTTGTACAGCTTAAATGCTGTTCAGTATTATATCTATTACTGTCATGTCTGAGAGATATATAGCTAACATCTGAAAGTCAGTGAATCCGGCCCACGTGTTCCATTTTTCATGTCCTCCTTCGCTGTTCACATGGACATCTGAATTGTTTACTTATATGGCACGGATTCCGTTTTTTACTTGGATCGTACCTTGATGTTGCAAATTACCATCTGGGTACCAGTTGTCTAAATCCCTCGATAGGCTTCTATTTAGGCAGAATTTCCCTTAACAGTCTATTCTGCAAATATAATAAGGCTGTTAATGAGATCTTCTATTTTGCCATTTACTTTCATTTGGCAGAAAGATTTATGGGCCATAGTGAAGAATTAACACATTTTTGCAACCGTCCTCTCAAAAGTCAATCCACCCAATTCAATTAAAATTTATTAAAAATAATACATCTTAAATACATACAAGTACCAAGTAACACTAAACTCTGGAGTGAAATCTTTAAAAATGCATTCAAATACCCTAACTATTAACAAAAATGTTTCTTATTTGTATATCACTCAGGTGTAGATCCTCAAATCATCTCTGAATTGGTGCCGACAGTGTCCTTCCTTCTGGAGGGTGGCCACTTTTGTTCCCCATGATCCCTGTGTGTGTTGTAAAGTAGTCACCGCTCCAAGCTCTTTCCCGTGATGGACAACAATCTCAATACAAATTAGAAAACTAAACATGAGATTGTAGTCCATCACGGACTAGTCAATGCATCCAATTCAATTAAAGTGACCCTAAACTCAGGAGTCAAATCTTAAAATGCATTTAAATACCCTAACTATAAAAAATGTTTATCTTATTTGTGTATCACTCGGCTGTAGATCCTCAATCATCTCATAATCAGTGACAGCTAGCTCCGCCAAACTGCTTCCTATTGGCCAGAACCTGCTAGAGTTTGCTAGCAGGTCCCGGCCAATGAATAACAACTGGGCGGAGCTGGCCGTGATGTCACGGCCGGATACGCCCAGTTATTATTGTTTAATGACAGATCAGCGCCCCCAGGACATTTGGGGATGCTGATCTGTCATTTGCGGGGCTTACGGCCGGTCCTTCGTCAGGCCGTTCGCCCCGCTTCTGGTGTAACTTCGGCTCAGCCGAGCCGAAGCATATGCTTTCGGCCCGGTTGAGCCGCTCGCCCGCCTTCGGCTGCTTTGCGGGCTATAGTGAATAGCCCGTACAGCAGCCCTTCAGTTCGACTGGACCAAAGTGCTTCGGAGGCCGAAGGATCAGCCAAAGCTAAGGCTGGATCCTTCGGCTCCTTTGTTAATAGCCCCCTTAGTTTACTAATTTGTATTGAGATTGTAGTCCATCACGGGAGAGAGCTTGGAGCGGTGACTACTTTACAGCACACAGGGACCATGGGGAAGAAAAGTAGCCCCCCTCCAGAAGGAAGGACAGTGTAAGCAGCACTTCAGAGATGATTTGAGGATCTGCAGCCGAGTGATACACAAATAAGATACATTTTTGTTATTAGTTAGGGTACTTGAATGGATTTTTGATATTTAACTCCTGAATTTAGTGTCACTTTAAATTAAGCTGGGAGACTGCATGTTCCTAGGTAACCAGGGCCACTCAAACTAGCCCGTAGAGCAGCCCATCGGTTCAACTGAACCGAAAGGCTCCGGCGGCCGAAGAAAGCCGAAGCATCAGCCGAAGCTACGGCTGGATCCTTCCACTATTGAGATTGTAGTCCATCACGGGAGAGAGCTTGGAGCGGTGACTACTTTACAGCACACAGGGACCATGGGGAAGAAAAGTAGCCACCCTCCAGAAGGAAGGACAGTGTCAGCAGCACTTCAGAGATGATTTGAGGATCTACAGCCGAGTGATACACAAATAAGATACATTTTTGTTATTAGTTAGGGTACTTGAATGGATTTTTAATATTTAACTCCTGAATTTAGTGTCACTTTAAATTAAGCTGGGAGACTGCATGTTCCTAGATAACCATGGCCACTCAAACTAATGGGCTTTAATATCTAGGGCTACTATAGACTTTCTGCAGAATGTGTGTATTTGTGAGAAAGAAGCAAAGGGTAATTTTTCAATTATGACATTAAAAAAAATTAAACATACTTTCCTGTGCTTACTGGGGTGCCCCTAGTGGGGTATTTTTGAGGTTATAGACAAATAACATGTTGGTTATTGTTTGTGCAAAGGATTTTCCTTAGGTATGATATTAAGTAGATGGATTGTGTGCCATCTGTTGCATCTTTCCAGCAGGCTGGATGTTAAAGCTGAACTCCAGGCAAACAACTAAATACACTAGATATATAGATAAGGAAGCTGTTACCTGCCAAAGGTTTTGTTTTTCTGTCCTAACAGCTCTGCCACACAGCACAGTTCTGGAATTAAGACCTGATTTTTTTTTCTTATGGGTCTTGTCCCTCCCCCAGCCTGTGACTGTACAGTGAAAGGAGAAGCAGCAGAATGACAAGCTCACCTCTCTGTAAGTCTGCTCTCCCCTCCTATCAGCACATCCCTTGTTAGGGCAAGAGCGCTGCAGCACAGCTGATTGGCTCTTGGTGCTGCTTCTCCCACTCCAAGTCTGAGCTCTGCTGTGTAAGTGGCTGATAACAAGTCAAATTCAGGTACCTACACTGCTTGCATTCATAAATATATATTTAATGATGTATTAATGATTACAGAGTTGCATTAGTCTGTGTCTTTTATATCTGCCTGGAGTTTAGCTTTAAACCAGCACATACATTGGTTTCCTTTGTAATGCATAGTAAGACAGGTTCACTCTAATAGTTCCCTCTGACAGTAGTTGGTCATAGCATAGACCATAACTACATGCCCATTCCCATTGGGCTCTGTCCTGTATTATTGTGCATGCTGATCATTTCATCAGTTGTGTAACACACTCCTTTTGTCCCTGTTAAACTGTTGTGTGTCTGTCTCTCCCTCTCTTTCTCTCTTTCTCTCATGCGCTCTCACCGCTGGCTTTCCCCTTGTCTGTTTGTGCTGGCTTTATGCTGTCTTGCACAGCATCCATAAAGTGCCCACCGCTGACCACCGACGCGTCTCCGCTCCCCCAGACTCCTTCACCATGTAAGTATGTCACTCTGCTTTGTCATTATCAATGGGTGCCTCGTGCGCCCCCACTTCCGGCGCACTGCCCACTCCTTGCTGTGACTCACTTGTTTTCTTGCTTACTCCACATAGCAGAATCATCATCATGGTGTCCCCACAAAGAGCCTTCTGTCCTTCTATTGTTATCTTCTCATGCCTGCATGATTTGACAATATGCTCATTAAAGGGCCATTTGACAAAGTGGTTTATGTACAAAAGTTATTCTTCTTAGGTAGCAAATGAGGTGTGTGAAGAAAGAGACAAGTGCAGGTTGGTGCTAGAAGTATTGTGCATAAAGAGTACCTGTCAACCTTTGTAATCTTTCAAAATAAACAGCTAAAAGATGAGATAAAAGTAAAAGGCATGCCTGGTTGGGGGCTCTATAAGGTACCTGCTTGTTTCTTTATTAGCAAAATAAAGCCTTTTTTCGTCACCCTTCTAATCCCCGTTTCATTTGATCAATACACTAAACATATCCCAATCTCATTTGAAACGGCAACTTCACTTTTAACTAAAAGTAAGGGAAAATCCAAAACTGAGTTTGCACAGAGACAGCAAAAGAGTGCAACCTGTACTGGTGAACTGGAATTTCCTTAACTTCCTCTTACCTCCTGCTGTGTCTAGTGAACAGAAAGTAAAATCTCTCCAGTAGGGTGACAACTTTAAAGAAATCTGACGAGGTAAACAAAAAAAAGTTTTAGATAAACTTTAAGATCTTAGGGGGGTCATAGGGGGGAGGATCTTAGGAGGGAAGCAATTGCGAATGTTTTAGCCTCTTAGATCATTTTTTTAATGTGCATATCTGTTTAGCTGCTCCCTTTAACGTGCGCCCGTTTTGACCAGAGCTTGCACTATTTTACAGATTGCGCCTGTTTTGCTCGTGTTTTGTGCCTGTTTTGCGCCTGTTTACATCTGTGCTTGTCCTGCAGCTGACTGAAACTGGAGCATCACCTAACAAAACAATTGCAATTAAGAAGTCCCCATGACGGCTTCTTCAAGAAGCGACAGTTACGCTTTATTCCATGCGACCATATACAAGTTCAAACACTCGCAATTGCTATGATAAATTCCCCCCTATGTGTTTAATAAAGATGCAAAACAGTTTTTTTGCTAAGAAAAAAAAGCGCATATGGGACAGGAAGTATCTGTTTATTAAATCTGTTTATTATAATGATAGCGTCCCTTTAAATTTTGCAATGGGGTCCACTGTATTGTAGTTGCACCTCTGATCTGGACAACGTGTCCCCTCCCTGACTTTACAAGTTCTAGAGTTCCTTTCTGTTTGGTTGTATGAAGTTTAGGATGTTGGTGGTGTTTTACTGGAATTAATTAAGCAATCTAGAGGAAATAGATTTCTTGTCTGCAGCAATCAATCTGGACTCTGACTGGTTGTTATGTAAAACACAGACACTTCCCTTCCAATTTTTATCAGCGAACCATTTTTATTAAAACTTGTTGGTTCTCCAATATAAACTTAATTGCAATTGTCGTCCTATTTCGTCTGTGACCACCGCTCATAATTTAGTTTATCTTTCTTAGAGTATTACTTTTTGTAATAACTCCTCAAGGTGATGTTGCCTTATTTGTCTTATCGCCATTCTCCAGTCACGGAGATTATCTTTTGTCTGACATATTTCCGAAAGACTTATGGCGCTCTTATGATTTATTTTCATTGCAGTCCACATTCAGTGCCCGATCGGCTGCGTATCCGAGTGAATCGAATCCGCCTACACGAGTACGAGGGACTGAATTACGACAAGGACAAGCTCAGAGAAGCCTGTAAGTTAATAAGTAAATCTCCGTTTTGACTTTCAATGAAAATGCTTCAAGCAAGGCCGGGCAATGTTTGTGTAGCTATGCAGAGAATTAAAGCCGAACTCCGGGCACATGATAAAAGATTATAATTTAATCTAGTTATGCATTCAGCCAAAAAAAACAAAACAATAAGTGCATTTTTAAATACAGCTGGCTTTAAACTCCGGAAAAAAAATGATAAATTGGACAGTGCACTGGGTGTGCAAATTACTAATAAGGTGCATGGTATGTGTGGTGGGCTGCTGCAAAGTATATAAATCTTACCTTGCAGTATGCTGACTTGTATACATAACTCATGGCTCCTGTGCGAAGTGAGGAAGGTGACGCGAGTAGTAAAGGGCTCCAGTCACATCCCCTCCCCCCTCTTTCTTACTACTTGCCCATTCACAAAATGCCTTGTATTTTTCTCAAAAGATACAAGATGTTCTGTGATAGGAGGAGGCAGGAATGTGACATCATCTCTCCTCTTCCAATATACAGCTTTTAAAACGACAATCAACATTCCCAGTAGGGTGTGTAAAAGTACTTGAACCCGTTATATATTTGCTTGTTGTACCGCCTTGCACAATGCTGCCAGTTAAACAATGGGAGTTTGCTGAAAGGGGGAAAAAACAAAGCCATTATCGCTTGGTCTTTCTCTGTCCAATAAGCAGGAGGGAGGCAGGTTGCTGACCAAGCTGTATTGCTCAACTGCAAGGAATAAGAGCAAGGTCATGGATCTCACTGTCTGGCAGGGGTGTTGCAATCACAAAACCAGTTGAACAGAATTAGAAATCTTGTAGAAGACTAAGACATATGTGTATTTTAACTGTGTGTATATAGCCGTTTTCCTGGTGTTCATGTTTAAATGTACAATCTAGTCAGTATTGACTAGATTGTACCTTTAAACATGACTCTTCTGATCCCTCCTGTTTGCAGTTATGTCAGGTTGTCCTTTAGTTTCCAGTGACAAATTTACTTTATAAGTATCCTATGAATATTATAGGTTTAATATATACTTTATGGCCAAAGATTTATGGACACCTGACCATCTTACCTAAATAAGCTTGTTGGACGTCGCCAAAACCATGGGGGAATATTACAGAGTTGCCCACCTTCCTATTTTGTGGTACACTTTTAGCCGCCTGAGGTTGGGGGCAGGGGAGGGTATTGAGATGGTGTTGTTGCATGGCACCAGGAAAGGGTGGGGGGGTTGAATCAGTGGGTTGTGGTGGTTCTTGTACATTATGGGTTGGTACTTGTGGTGCAATGGGGTGGGGGTGGGTGTGCTGGATGTAGTTGTACCTCTGGCACCGACTCTCTCCGGCGTCCTGGCAACCAGTGTTGTCAGTGAGCTGGCAGGATGCTGGACAGAGCGTCACAGGTTGCTAAGGGCTCTTAGCAATCAGGGCAGCTATGGCCGGAAAGGGGTGGCGGCTGGCACACCTGGCGCCTCCTCCCCTACCCACCCCCCAGGACAGCCCTGTTTGAATGACATTTTTATGTTTGTGAGGTTGTTTTTTGGATGTACCTGTTTCCTCCACATTTCAAAAATGTACTTCGGGGGTCAGGTATTGATGCAAATGGTTCCATTTTCTCTGGAAATATACACATACCTATACAATAATAATAGTAATTCGACATAAAAAAACAAGGACTAGCTGTCATTTAAATTCCACTAGTTCATGTTGTAAAAAGCAGTCCATCACGTAACCCCTTTGCTGGGCTAATGCTAAAGTGATACAGAAATAATAAATAAAATAAATAGGAACAAAAGATTCGACTTGTTATGATCCTCCGCTTAAAATGCTTTGGCCAAACACCCTACAGTGCTCGCCGTTGGAGCCTAAAGCTTTATTTAAATCATCCTTCCAGCAGGCTCCCTCATGCATGTCAGCGGTAACACGTATGCGTAAAGTTTAGTGTAATCTGCCACCCATAAATCACAGGGCCACCTCTTCTCATGCATCATGCATGAAATGTATAGCGCCCCAATCCAGGCAGCGGTAATGAATGCAGAGCATTGCGGGCTCAGTCAGCACTAAACGAGCACAGAACAATGGTCACACTTTCCTGAGCAGGTTCTGCTGCGGAGAGACTGAACACATAATAGAGATTTAAACCCCCAGGAAAGTTCCATTACTCTCCCCCCTCCGCCGCTCCCTCCCCGCAGCCATATGCAACTTAATTGCTTTGTAGCATGAACCAAACTCAGCTGGGGCACTGGTTTCTCCGCAGGCTGCCAGTGTTCGTCACATAATGAAGTCCCACTATGGGTGACGGTGCAAGTCATTAATCAACACGGCTGATAACAGTTTAATAGAGTCGTGTTCATCTCCTGTACTCATTATTCATAGCGAGTTGAGAGCTACCAGCATGGCTGTTTTTTTAAAATATATATTATTTTCTTCTGCAGCAATGGTGAGGCCGTGAGACTCTTCTGCAATTACATGGGTACCTGTGTAACAGATTCTGTGTCATTTAGATGCTAGGTTTCCCGGTACCTTTTGATTAACAATGAAAAAGTGCTCATGCAATTGCTCTTCCTTGTGAAAATTTTTGGTTGCCGGAGATTAGATCAAATAGGACACTGACGACTGCCCACTTTCGGCAAGCATTGCAAATGCAACAGTATAATCCAGTCCAGGCTTTGCCTAGGCCAAGATGATTTAATGAGTCTGCTGGCAGGAGGAAGCATTTCCTCAGTCTCTTCTCCCTCATGGATCAGACTGCAATATTGTAGCTTTGTAGCAAGGTGAGAAGCTGCAGCAGGAGCTGATCTGTGCCAGACATTTGTGAACACAACCAAGAACTGCACAGGCATCGGGATTACATGATTGTGTCATCTCTGAGCCGGCATCTCTGTCCAGGAAGTAAATGATGACCCTGGATGATGCCTGAACAATGACTCTGTCCTTCTGGATGACTCTGTCCTTCTGGAGAGAAAAGGTGTTGAAGGCACTGTCAGGGGGAGTGCTGTGATCTTTGTTAGTGTTAAGAAATACCTGAAAGTGTTGCACTGATACATTGGCAATAAATAATATATCTGCTTGTGTGATGCTAGAACTACATGTTTTCTAGTTACATATGCATTGACTGCTGGTGGGAGAGACCTTTTTGGCGCAAGTTAAATCTTTCATTCATTGGAGAGCAGAGCTGACTGTCAGTGTATTGTTCCAAAGTGCAGTATATATATTTAGGACAGTCGTATTTACATTGTCCTGTTTAGTAGTACTGTGCACTGATTATGTTTAACTACCACTCTCGGTCTCTTCTCAGACTTACTGAAAACCCCCAATATGTTCTATTGTCAACAGTTGTTTAGCAGGGAGGCTGACTGAACTGTCCAATATGCAGCTGTTATCTAGGGGTAGCACCTGCTAATTTGTACATAAACTACAGTCGTGTAAAAATGTGAAAATGACAACATTTTCTTAAATCTAATAGTTTATTGGAATACATACTCACACAACGCACTCTAGTTTCCCTCTAAGGGTCTGCAAAGCCTCCTTTGAGCCAGTCCCTGTAGCTCTCCTCTTTCTTACTCTTCATAAAAAAAAACCTTCTCATCTGAACTCAGGGCGCATCTCAGGATTTTTCCTTCCCGGCCTGTGAATTTCAGTCGTAATTAAAGCAATTAGGGCCTCCATCTCCAGACTTGCCAATAACAATGAGGAGGAGATGGCAGGCGTGAGGCTGATTAAACTGGAGCTGTGAGATCACTGGACCGTACGCTGAGGACAAGATTAAAAACTCGGGCAATTATTGGCGTGGCGGCAGGATGGCAATGCTTGTCTGGGGTCTCCCACTCCTTCATGGTGGGCTGGTAGGATCTGGCACAGCTGTTCTGGAATCTTTGGGAGCTGGAGGGTTATGATGACCTAGGACAGGGGTGAGCAAACTGTGGCCTTCCAGCTGCGGTGAAACTACAAATCCACATGCATCTGCCACTGGAAATTATGCCTGTAGCTATCCTAAGGGCATTCTGTACACGGAGTAAAAAATGCCTGCCCAGAAATGCCATGTCCTGCTTTTGAGATTGGCTGCCTGATTTTGGTTGATGTCTGCACAAAGATACCAGTAACATTTTGGGCATCCCTTATTAGGTGGCAATGGTGACATTCTTCTTAAGGGTTAATTAATACAAAAGGGATGCCGACACTACAACTTTCCTCATTAGAGCACAGAAATTTCACCAGCTAATTATAACATAGAGCCTCCCATTCAGGAATCAATTTGGAAAGGACATTCTGCAACAAACATCTTTTTCCTTCAGAACAGAAACCGGTAGAATTCTACAACAGAGTCTCTTAAATTCTTTGCAATATACATTGACCATCCAGGGTTAATTGTTTATTTTCCCAACAAAAGTGGAGTTACTCTTTCATTTTATGTGCTCTTTAATTGAAGATGATCTGTTAAACGTTGAAAGGTCACATCACAAATCACTTCTAATTAAGGGAAATACACAAGAATCACTCAAAATACAGGCACTTGCTGTTACAAGCTGACAACACTCTGTCCCTTTCTCTTAACTGAGCTCCTACGTTGTCACCCTGTCAATCCCTTTCCCAATGAAGAAAGCTCTTGGGCCAATACACCTTGCATAGGTATGTGCTCCAGTCATCACCATCAGAAAACCCGCCCCGAGAAATGATGTGAAGCATTGATTCAAGATACAACAAAACACAGAGCAGGCGCCACCTTCAGGTGCAGTATGTTTATTGACTAAATGATGAAATAAAAGAATAAAGAGGTTCTACTCACTATTCCTAAAGGAAACCAGGCATATCAATAACAGAGTCTGATGGTCCAAGAACGCTGTATAGTGGTAGGTGCATACCAACGCGTTAGCGCGGCCCCCCCATGTTGGGATGCACCTACCACTATACAGTGTTCTTGGACCATCAGACTCTGTTATTGATATGCCTGGCTTCCTTTGGGAGTAGTGAGTAGTACCTTTTTACTTTTATATAATCATTTAGTTAATAAACATACTGCACTCGGAGGAGGCGTCTGCTTTGTGTTTTGTTGCATGTCGTCAAGATTTCAGTGACTCCCTGGTTGAGAGGGCAGCCCGTGGTTCCTAGCATTGGTGGAGTGAGCACCAGACCCATTGCTTCGCGCCAGCCTGAATCTCGCCTATTGGTTCAAGATGACCAGGGCTCAGTGGAACTGGATTCAATAATGCTGGTAGTGGTAGAAAATACGTACTGCAGGAGAAATCTCTGGATTGAAGGTGAATATTGCAGCAAAAGTTGGCAAACCCACTGCTGTCAAAATACAATAGCCTGGTGGAGGGCATTTCCCCACACTCTTAGCATGGATAGGGGAATCGAGAGTTTTTTCTTATTCAGCCCTGTAGGGCTGATATGCAAGCTGTTCTGTACATTACATAGTCCTGACCCCTGAACTCTGCTACACTGTATATGCTATGTTCTAAACAAAATAAATTGGGTGGCATTTTTAGGGCATTAAGAAATGTGATAGGCAGTCAGAATGTTAAGGGGGGGTTATAATTTTTTGCTTTTTACAGTAAAAACCAAAAAAGTTTATTAAATACAACCATAAAAAAGCTATATCTGTTTAAAAAAAATGATGTAAAATTATTTTGGATACACTATTGTATGAATTGTCAAACTATCGCAGCACTGAAAACTGACAAATGTCCTGGAAAGGAAGAGGTGTACCATGCTGGGATTGTAGTGGTTATATAAGATTCTGTGTTATCGTTCTTCCCTGTACATAACAAATCAGTAACTTCCTTTTCTCTCCACCAGCTATCCCTCTAGGAATTATTGTAGTACGAGGAGACTGTGACCTGGAAACTTGTCGCATGTATATTGACCGCCTACAAGAGGTGAGCAGCACAGTCTCGGCTCCCCTGTAAATGTCATACCACCAGTCCTATTACTCCCCTAGTAATACTCTCATACATGTAAATACATTATTATTTCACTATTATATTGCTTTACCAAACTAATAATGGCAATTAGGGATCGAGTACTGATATTTTTTTTTTGGTACTCGCCGACACCGGTGCTGTGTGCCCATATTATCAGGAAGCCAGCTTCCTGATTGCCTGTGAAGCCGGTGTTTTAGCGAAAGAACCCCAGCTTCACTTGCTGAGGCTGCCTGGCTTCCTGACCAATCAGAAAGCCAGGCGGTGAGTCATGAGGTGCCATCCGGCTTTCTGATTGGTGAGGAAGCTAGGCTGCCTAGCAACAAGTGAAGCCAGCGGCACGTCATGACCCACCTCCTGGCTTCCTGGTTGGTTAGGAAGCTGGCGTCACTTGTTGCTTGGTAGCGTTGCTTCCTGACCAATCAGGAACCCGGGACACGAGTCATTACATGCTGCCCGGCTTCCTGATTGGCTAGGAAGCTAGGCTGCCTAGCAACAAGTGAAGCCGGCTTCCTAGCCAATCCTAGGTGCATCCCTAATGTCAATGAAGGCTTCTATTTTGTATAAATGCAATCCAGTAACAAATGGGTAGGTTAATTGAGTTCTGCCCATAAGGCTTAGGCTCCGTTCACAGCTAAGTGTCAGTGTTTCAGGCATTTCCAGGTGTTTCTATTCAAGTCTATGGGGTTAAAAGCGCAGAAATCTGCAGAAAACTAGCTCATGTCCTTTTCCAGCAATAGGCATTTTGCTACTGGCGACATAACCAGAAAACAGGTGTGAACAGGGCCCATAGAAAACAATGGGATTCCTCATGTTCAGCGTTTTGTACCTCAGGGCTTTGAGCTACAAAATACCTAGGTGTGAAGGGGGACTTACTATATGATTACAGAGAGAGCATTAGATCATAAGCTACTTGGGAGCATGGCCTAATTTGAAAATATCAGTGTTCTCTTTTAAATCTATGAAGCAATCAAACACATAGTAAAATAAGTGCATAGAAATATGTACAAGCATGATGTGCTGAGCACACTGTAAGCACAGAAGTACATACAGGCACCACAGTGCTCTACAATAAATAAGGGTCTCTTCCTGACACACACAGGGGACTCCTTTGAGGAATTATGAAGAAAGATAATAGAACTCGTCACATCCATTGATTTTTTTTTCCTGACATCTAATATTATAGAGCTCTATTTTTTCACATTGTAGATGCTCATGGCATCTAATAGCACACAGGTGCCTATAAACTGTTCCATCTAAAGCCTTTAGAGATAATAGTATTAGACTGGTTCCAATTTACCTCCCTGTCTTACTATCAATCTTAAAAATAATCTTTAATGGCATTTCAAAAGTCATTTTCAATCTTTTTAAATCTTCAGCTTTAGAAACAATATCAGGTGATTGTGCCATGAAGGTCCTTATTCAGCCACTTCCTGTAGTAGGTGACAACGCTCTGTCTCCCAGTTGTGCTCCTGTATTGCCACCCTGTCACACAGGCTTCCTATGGAGGTGACAAGTGGCTGTTTCAGCACAGACCAGGCAGGCATGCTCCACTGTTGTCACCATACAGGAACCCACCCTGAGAAATGCTATGCACCCATCCCTGGAGTGCGTGCAGACAGGAAATGGCTGTGGGAGATCAGCAGCACTGAGATGGCACAATGGTTAGAAAACAGGTGAAAACAATATTTTCTAAAAGACAACAAAATGACAGTTCGGGTTTACATCTACTGTATTCTACAACTCTTATTTGTTTTTTACCAGGACCTTCATTCCGTGACATCTTACAGAGATCACTGCCAGGTATGTACATTTGACTAATTTGATTTTCTATAAATATTCATTAAAATTTGAAGTCATGGGTCATTATGCTAGACTCATCCACCTAACCAACCGCTCAGTGTCTGCAACCCCCCCTCTGCCAATCCCTGCACTGGCTTCCAATAGCCCAAAGGATATAATTCAAAATATTAACAACCACTTACAAAGCCATTCACAACTCCACCCCCGGCTATATCTCAAACCTTGTCTCAAAGTATCACCCTAACTGTCCACTCCGCTCTTCCAAAGACCTCCTGCTTTCCAGCTCCCTTGTCAACGCCTCCCATGCTCGCCTCCAGGACTTCTCTAGATTCTCTCCCATCCTCTGGAACTCTTTACTCCAACCTGTCCGACTATCTCCCCCTCTGAATGCCTTTAGGCGATCCCTTAAGACTCATCTCTTCAGGGAAGCCTATCCCACCTCAACCTAACCGCTCAACCGTCACGTTCTCAAATAATTAATCCCCACACAGCTACCTCCTCATGTATCCCTGGCCCCTCCCTTTTAGATTGTAAGCCCTCAGGGGCAGGGCCCTCCTTACCATCTGGTCTTGAATTATATTGTGATTGTAATGTCTTCCTTATATTGAAAAGTGCTGTGCAAACTGTTGGCGCTATATAAAGCCTGTATAATAATAATAATTATAAAAGCTTTGTTTCTTTACATTTTATGTTGGCAAACCGTCGTTGGGTGGTCTCACTGAAGGGCATCATGGATAATTGATGTAATTGGTGGTGCCTCTCCTAAATGTAGCCATTTTATGCCAGAGCCATGTAACTGCTTCCTCCTGTTTGTGCCTAGTGTGAAACGCGTCAGTATTAGAGCTTGTCCCTGCTGGCTGTTTAATAAAAGAAGAATATTTTTTTGCATCTCTGTGTACAATGTTCCTGTTGCTGCTACTATTGGGCCACTTTTTCCTGTCGATTAGACACAATCAATTCTCATAAATGTAAAGTAAGCACAGAAAATGGCGGCTGTGTTATTTTCTGTGTATTTATTTTAAGAAATATTTAACTTCTGCTGAATGTTGAAGGACATCTTTTAACGGAACCCAGTGAAGATGTTTCATGAACGTCCGGATCATGCGATTACATTTTACATTTTGTCACAGTGATCACGTGATCAGGAGCCTATCCTACCAACTACTGATCCTCACTCTGTGACCTAAAGCTGTCGGTGACTGCGTAGTCACAGTGCTGGGGGCGGAAGATTAACGCAAAACAGGGAAGCATATATGGGGGCAGCAAAGAGTAAGGCCCAACTTCCTGCTGCCATATATATATA